GCCCCCCTTGAGACCCCCTTTGTCCTAGGATTCTCTGGGGCTGTTCTAATCAGACTTCCGGGGACACCTGACGGGGAAAGCACCGAGAGAAATGGATCTCTTGGTATCTTCCTTGTTTATTGATTCATTTACTTAGTTATATCCTGCCTTTATTAGAGTTACAAATAACATCAGGCAGCAAATATATCCAACATTTCCCCACAACAACAACATCCTTGCGAGGTGGGCAGAGTTGAAAGGGAATGACTGGCCCAGAGTCACCCAGCCGGCTTTCATGCCTAAGGCGGGACTAGAACTCACCATCTCCTGGTGATTGGCCCAAAGTCACCCAGCCGGCTTTCATGCCTAAGGCGGGACTAGAACTCACCGTCTCCTGCTGATTGGCCCAAAGTCATCTAACCAGCTTTCATGCCTAAGGCGGGACTAGAATTCAGCGTCTCCTAGTGATTGGCCCAAAGTCANGGAAAGGGAAGGGGAAAGAAGGAAAGGAGAAAGGAAAGGAAAAAAGGGGGGAAGGGAAGAGAAAGAAGGCAAATCTGTTTGGGGGGGCTTGGGCAGCCCTCTTACTCAAATAAGACTCCATTTTTGTTTCCCTGACCCCTCAGCCCCCTCCCACAGCAGGCACAGCTGGAGGAGGCGTCCCAGCTTCCCCAACCCTTCACGGAGATCATCTCCATTTCAGGCGCGCCTGCAAATACAGCCGAGAAGGGTGGGAAAACGGCAAGAAAAGCCCAGGCGCATCATCCTCATGTGGAGAAGAAGGGCAATTCTTGGGGATTGGGGGGAGAAGTCCCCTCCGCCCCTCCCCTCCCCACCCCTGCTCTCCAGCATCCTGGCTGGGCCGTGCCAGAGCCCCACAAGACAACAGCCATGGGGGGTGGGGTGGGGAGGAAGGGCGCCTAGCAAAGGATGGGCCAGTCCGGGGTGCTGTGACTCCCTTTTCCTTGGGACGTCCAGTCGTGGGAACGCAGCCGGAGAGCGTATGTGAAGGAGGGTTGTGTGTGTCTTTGTTTCTCTGGGAAAGTAAGCCAATCTTGCCAGGAGGGGGAGAGAGAAGAGGGGGGAGGAGGGGGATTCCCTCCATCTCCCCCTCCCTCCAGCCCCGCAGTTTCCTTTCTCTTGGAGCCAAGATCTGTGAATGCGCCGGGCTTTGATGGGCTGCCCGGACAGCTGCACGGAGCTTCCCAGGCCAGATGCGGCCTTTTCCAACCTCTGTTGGGACTACAACTCCCATCACCTCTCTGCAAGGGCCTGTGGAGCTGTAGCCTCAGGCTAGAGAGAGAACCAGCAAATCCGAGTCAAATTGGCTTTTCTTTCCCAGTGCCTGGTTCTGGAGACAGAGGGGAGGGGGTGTGCTGGTTCTAGGCAGGTGCCAACTCTCCCAGGGGGAACTTGCAAAGCTTCTGTCAGGGACCCAAATTCGCAGGTTCTGGTGTGTTTCCTTGGGGGGGGATTCCTTTCCCCCGCCCAGGGCCAGGTTTGCATGTGGTTGAGGTCGGTTACAGTGCCTCTATGGCCCCATAGAACAGCTGAGGGGGAAGGAAGGAAGGAAGGAACTTTGCAATTCGTAGATTAAAGAAAGAAGAAATGAAAGAAGGAAGGAAGTTTGCAATATGTGAAGGAAGGAAAGTAGGAAGAGAAGAAAAAAGAAAGNTCAACTCCCAGAATCCCCCAGCCAGCGCAGCTGGCTGGGGGATTCTGGGAGTTGAAGTCCACAGGACTTAAAGTCGCCAAGGTTGAGAAACACTGGTCAAAAAGGATCATGCTCAGTTATCATCGTATGTTGAGGACGAAGGCGGACAACCTTTTCAGTCCTTGGTGAGAATGCTCAGATGATTATTTTTTGTCTGGCAGCACAACATAAATGCGCCGAGAGGCCGTGGGACGAGAGTTATGGAAATCTTTGAGAAAAAATGATTGCCAGAATCCGCCTTCTCCCAAAATGAATCATCCCGTCAGTGGGGAAAGAGCCCCCCCCTGCCCGCCCGCCCGCCCGCACAGCCCAATCCAGGATCAGTTTCTTCGGACAGCTGCAAAGATGGAGCCTGTTTTGTCGGGGTTGGTCAAACTGGCAAAGTGCCAGGCAGGGAGCGGTTGTGGGCACTGGCCTGCACGCCAAAGGGTGCTGGGAGGCACTAGTGGGCCTCGGCTGGCAAAGAACAGAATGACAGAGTTGGAAGGGACCTTGGAGGTCTTCTAGTCCAACCCAATGCTCAAGCAGAAGACCCGATACCATTTCAGACAGGAGAGAGGGAGGGAGGGAAGGAAGGGAGGAGAAAGGGAGATAGGTAGGAAGGAAGGAAGGAAGGAAGAAGGAGAGAGGAAAGAAGGAAGGAAGAAAAAAGTTGAAAGGGACCTTGGAGGTCTTCTAGTCCAACCCCCTGCTCAAGCAGAAGATCTGATACCATTTCAGACAGGAGGGAAGGAGGGAGGGAGGGAAGGAAGGAAGGAAGGAAGGAGAAAGGTAGGGAGGTAGGAAGGAAGGGGGGAAGGAAGGAAGGAAGGAGAGAGGAAAGAAGGAAGAAAAAAGTTGAAAGGGACCTTGGAGGTCTTCTAGTCAAACCCCCTGCTCAAGCAGAAGATCTGATACCATTTGAGACAGGAGGGAGGGAGGGAGGGAGGGAGGAAAGGAAGGAAGGAAGGAGAAAGGTAGGGAGGTAGGAAGGTAGGGGGGAAGGAAGGAGGAAGGAGAAAGGAAAGAAGGAAGGAAAGAAGAAAAAAGTTGAAAGGGACCTTGGAGGTCTTCTAGTCCAACCGCCTCCTCAAGCAGAAGACCTGATACCATTTGAGACGGGAGGGAGGGAGGGAAGGAGAGGAAAGAGGGAAGAAAAAAGCTAGAAGGGGCCTTGAAGGTCTTCTAGTCCAACCCCCTGCTCAAGCCACAGCATTTTGAACAGTAACTAAGTGGATGGTTGCAAGTGAAGGATTAACCTGTTCTGTGACTGGCCAAATCAACTCGGCTCCTTCCGGTGGCAGAACAAACGTTCACATTTTGTGCCAATCACATCTCTGGACACCTGAGTGTTGTTTCAATCCCCAAAGATTTCTGCTCCTCCGGTGCTGCTGCAGACGGCAGGTCCAGGCACCGCCTCAGCTGTTTCTGTGTGTGTGTGTGTGAGTGAGTGAAAGAGCTCAGCTTCCTTAACCAGGTTCATCAGCTCCTGCATAGCAGGGAAGGGAAGGGAAGGGAAGGGAAAAGCGAAGAAAGGGAAGGGAAAGAAGGGAAAGGAAAGAGGAAGGGAAGGAAAGGAAAGGGAAACAAAAAGAAGGAAGGAAACGGAAAGGAAAGAGGAAGGGAAGGAAAAGAAATGGAAGAGAAGGAAAAGGAAAGAGGAAGGAAAGGGGAAAGAAATGAAATGAAAAGGAAACAGAAAAAAAGTAAGGAAATGGAAAGGAAAGAGGAAGGGAAGGAAAAGAAAGGGAAGAGAACAGAAAAGAAAGGGGGAGGAAAGGGAAGAGAAGGGAAGGGAAAGGAAAGGAAAAGAGAAGAAAGGGAAGAGAAAGAAGGGAAAGGAAAGAGGGAGAAAAGGGAAGGAAAGGGAAACAAAAAGAAGGAAGGAAACAGAAAGGAAAGAGGAAGGGAAGGAAAAGAAAGGGAGGGGAAGAGAAAGAAAAGGAAAGAGGAAGGAAAGGAAATTGAAAGGAAAGGAAACAAAAAGAAGGAAGGAAACGGAAAGGAAAGAGGAAGGGAAGGAAAAGAAAGGGAGGGGAAGAGAAAGAAAAGGAAAGAGGAAGGAAAGGAAATTGAAAGGAAAGGAAACAAAAAGAAGGAAGGAAACGGAAAGGAAAGAGGAAGG